AGAGAGAGAGAGAGAGAGAGAACCTGTGCAAGGTACTAGGTGCTATACTTGCAACATACGTGAGTGCGAGCTCAATCGCCCTCCGCCCACGCCGTCCCCAACGACAACATTTACACAATCCAGGACATTCCTCTTGCAAATCCTCCAGCGTGACCACTACCGCCTCACGGGTTCCCATATGAGTCTCCTCAAGCACAGGCATGATTGTATCATGCACATCTACCACAAAATTAATACTCCTTCATTGCTTCTGTAGAACCCGCACCCCGCCCCCTTCTCCTTCCTACCCATGAGACAGATCCTCAGTGGTGGCAAGTTGGCAACCCCTCGCGCCATTGGGATGTGTGCATGCCACCGCAGTGATCCACGATATACTGGCTTCCCACCACACATTCTCAATGTACAACATCCCCCACGCCCCACGGACCTGGGAGTCTCTGGGACTACCTCAGCGACCTCATAGACATCCACCATCATGAAGCGCAATCTCAACTCCCTCCCTTCCACATCTACAGGGCCGATATTGTCCGCAGGGCTCTCTGTTTTCTCGGCGCTCAAGGCTCCTCTGGCCAGTCAAGATAAAAGATGCCACACAAAGGCTCCTGCCCTATCAGCACCGCTTCAACTAATGGCCACCCAGTTCCAAACTGCCTCAACATCCCGAGCACCCCACACTGCACCACGGACCTGGGAATACCTCAGCAACCTCATTGTCATCCATCATCGTGAAGCGCAATCATTGTCCGCAGGGCTCTCCGCACTCAAGGCTCCTCCAGCCGCACAAGATAAAAGCTACGGTAACCATGTGACGGGACGGGACGCCACCTCGGTCAAGCCTCCAATGAGTACGAACAAGAGTAGAAGTGACAGCAGGTGGAAGATTCTCAACAGGCATAAATGGAAAGAGATCAAGACGGATCAGACACAGAAGCTCTGTGTTTTTTTTTCTAAAAGGAGACACCAAGTGCACAATGAGATGGATAGGAGACAGAACTGTCTCTGACTTCTTTTTTTTTTGGCCAAGACGAGATAGGGAAACACGAGACAACAAAAATGAACAGATGTTTTTTTTTTTTTTTTTTTTGTATTTTGCAATCCCTTCATTCCTTACAGCAATTGCACAGGTTTTTCTATAGGAAAGCTGCAAACGAGTATGTATGTCTGTGTGTCTTCCATGGTAACCGCGGACCCGGACACCGGACACTTCCGGACTGTCTTCCGGACCAGTGTCTGGACTGGTCCGGACTGTCCGGTGATCCGGACATCACCGGACACCGGACAGTCCGGACCGGCCCCCGGGGTGCAAAAATGTCCAGACCCGCAAAAAAAAACAAAAAAAACGGGGGTGGGGGGGAGGTTGGGTGGG